GGTTTAGAAAATTGTTTCAGAAAAGAGTAAGAAAATAAATCATATTTTTATATCGCAAGTGTATTGAATAGTCTCTTCTTGAGAACAATTTCTTCGTGGAGAACCTTATCCAGTCATGCGTCCATGACCGGAATCAGTTTCCGGGATTTCAGCTGAATGTGAATTCCCCGCACGTCTCATCAAAATTAATGTAATGGCCGAAGTAAGTTCACCAACGAAAGAGATTTGCAACTCTCTAAGCTTGTCTACACAGAAGTGAGAGACGACTGACTGCCCTCCACGGGCAAGAGAAAGCAGCCAGCGAATGACTTTGTAATGAGCCGTTGCTCATCCAATCCCACGCTTTCTTTGATCCAGTGAAGAAAGCCAAGGTGAAGACTGTGCATAAGGTTCGCAACAAGGATCTAGTACTTCCTCTTGTGCTTGGATGGCACTTCTGGGACAGTTCCGGAAAGTCGAGAACATAACCGGAAGTTTCGATAAAACGGCAGGGTGCAGAAGTTGTAGATCTCCTCTGGAGCTATGTTGCATGTGGTCGCTTAGGGTAACTAACTTCGTGCAGCACGCTCGTAGACGAAGTGGTTGACGTGTAGCGCGAGGTGTCGATAAAAAATGTCAAAAGACTGAAAATAATGTGTACCGCTGACAATGTACAGTACAGGGATTTACTGCGATGCACTATACTGTGAAGTCATGGAACGAGCTGCTAAGTGCCAACGCAAATAAGCTGAAATCGTCAAATTCCTCGTGCCACAGGGCAAAACCGAAGCATTTAGAAGCAGACTCGGCAACTGGATCATGGACACCCCGTGTGACAACCGAAGACCAGTCGGGCGACTAGATGCAGACACATGGTGATCAGAGACCCTGTTCCCGAGGTACAGTTCCGTGACGAAGAGGCTGATACGCGTATTGTTCTCCATGCTCGGCATGCGCACAGGAATGACAGTGTGTTGCACTCTGATACACTTACACTGAGACTGATGTCTTTGTCCTAATGCTTGCTCATAGCAAAAACTTGACTTCCAAAAGGTGCTACATGAAAAAGGGAAGAGGCGCGAACATTCTATGCAACTCGACCCAGGCGATGTTAACCACTGCTTCATGAGGAGCCCTTATAGGTGTGTAAACTCGACCACAGGCTGTGATAACATCTCTGCCTTGTTTGGTAAAGGGGAGTTGAAAGCAGTCCAGCTTCTTCAACAAATGAAAGGTACGTCCGAGTTATGGCGAGTATCGCGAGAAAGAGTGATCAGTATCCAATGAGGACTTTAAATTCAAGATACGGAAGCACCCGTTTGTGAACTGTACGGAAAGAAGTGGCATAGTGCGCCGCTACGAGATTCATCCCCAGCTTAAGGATGGAAGGTCAAGCTGAAGAATCTGCCGCCATGCGAGTCATCTTTTCGACTTACAGGAGCAATTATCAAGCCTCAATGTGAAGAAGAACCATCGTTCTGTTCTCCTCGTTGGCACGTTACCGTAGAGTAGTTGCAACTCATGCGTATAAACCTATCTTCAGCTTATGATTTAGGGCAGAAAATGCAGAACATGTGAATCTATGTTTATGTTAAATTTTCCAAACGCGAATGTCAGCATTGCCTGCGTCGCAGACGCTCTAAACCTTCTGTATAGAGCTATACAAATGGTTTAGACGAGTTCGTGGGCCAGCTGCAACGCAGGCTAATGTCAGCAGTGAAGAATGGTGTTATGCGAATGATGTCAGTTATGGGATCATAGTGCTTTTGTTCTAAAACAAGCTCTAGACTGAGGAGTGGAGCACGTTTCGAGGTGGGGGGAAGGCACTCCCTTTTTTGGCCAATACAGGTATGTGCTGCTGAACACAAGGTCTTGAATATTAAACAGGGTGTAGAATTTTACTATTTTAATGGTAAAATTCTAATTATTTATTTTATTATTTTATTAGTAAAATTCTATTTTAATATTAAATTCGCTTAAAAGCGTCTTGAACAGTGTATTTTTGGGCTGGAAGCCTTAAAAATACTATGGAGGCTAACGACGAGCAGTTTACATTTGAAATACAATTATACCAATAATTTTTCCCCAAAGTATCTATCTTTTTAAAGATTAGCTAGCTTTCTAACGCCAGTCTTTTTACCAGTGTTACCCTTTTCTGTGTTACAAGGACCACATAATCTATTATTCGGTTTTAAGAATATTACTTCGCAATCCTAGAGTGTCGTGTTTCAATTTTGTCGGAGGGATTGCTTAATTTTGCTTTTATAATCTTGTATGAATTGCGTTTTAATGAAAATCATATCCTTAGAAGCGGTATTCCAATTGATACAAAATGTCAGACAAGTAGAATCAAACTCTGACTGTAATGAGAATAATATGAACGATCAACTAGTCGAATGGAACCTCAATCCTGAGCTGTTATGTTGTCAATCCATTTTGTGATGCGTGTGGAATGTCGTTGTGGCTTATCGGTAAAATAGGTGTCACAGAATGTTGACTTTTTTTTTTTTTTCAGGTTACTATTTATGTGGTTTCTGTAATCAATTAAAGTTTCCTTATTTTACAACATACAAATGTACATGTAAATTTGTTGTCCTTTTGTCTTAAATATAAAGAAAATTTAAGGAACACACATAGAGTGCTTCCCATAGAACAAAAATTCTGGTTTGAAATTTTGGAAATTCCACATTCCCGATCAACTGTACATTCAGGTTGCACAGACCTGACCCGAGCCACTGTGTATTTGGTTATTGTTCTTGTTAGCAGGATACAAAAGAATGGTACTGGGAAGAACAATTTTTCTAATAGAAAGGGACAAGTTGATCCTGCCAACCAAAGTGACTGGACCGGTCAAAGTAGACCATCTTCAAAGGTGGTCCTTAATATTTCGGTTGGACTGCACCAAAATGGTCTGTTCTTTTTTATTTCTAACCAAAGTTTCTGGAATTTTGGGCTCCCATATGGAAAGCCCCCATAGATTAATTGTTATGGTCACCACCTGAGAATGTTATAGTTTTTTAATTTAAAGAGGCAATTAAGCCTGTTCAGCTAATGTTTCATTGTGATACAGTGCCAATGTGCAGTCTCTGGAAGTTGATCAATCTGTCCCATAATTGTCTTCAACTTTTAAGTTACATGTAATTGTGCCAAACAGGAGCTAATTTTAGTTGGACATTGTCTGATGGATGTTCAGCTGCAATTTACAGCTTTAATTTATACTACAGTTAAAGCTCTTGTAATAGATACTCCTGACAAAACCCTTTAAATAAACTTTCTGCTCAAAAAACCCATTCCAGCAGCCAGGTCCAGTTAACTGTATGGACACTTTGTCTGCTTCATGTCGGTCCTTTACAGAGGCTTTAAATACAGTGCAGTCATTTTCCATTATTTCAGAATATTTGCTATAATTTTTTTATATTGGTGTTTTTGTTGTTGTAGTACCAAATGCTTCTCCAGCTAATGTCAGAGGAAACAATGTAAGCTCTACTGGGATTTTTGTACAGTGGGATGAAGTTCCAGCAGAAACTCAAAATGGCATTATAGTGAACTATACAGTCACCTACACAGAGTTGCCTGATGGTAGTCCAATACCTCAAGTAGTGATTGCTCCAAAACGAAATGCTACATTGCCAGGATTGAAAAAATTTACCAACTACAGCATCACAGTGTTTGCATCTACTGCCAAGGAGGGTGGTAACAGGAGTGAACCTATCATTGTCATTACAGATGAAGACAGTAAGTATAATTCTGGTGAACATTCGTTAATGATCTTGTAAGGTAACAAGGGGAAACAAGGTGTTAGTCATTTCATTTCCTGTGGTCTATTATGCATCAACACTACATAAAACACATGGAACGGTTGTGAGGAAATATCAAGAACAAAAGAAAACAAAACAAAAGATATAACTCGCTTTATTGAACTCTGACTTGGACTCCTTTTACCTTTTAAAAGTACAATTTTCAATTATGCCCAGTGGGCTTCAGTTATGATTTTGGTATTGATTGATTTAATGCAATTTTTCACACTTGTTTATGTATAGACACTTGTGTGCTTAGCTATTATCTTTTTAAAATAAATTGCAGAGAATAAGCCCCATTTGTTTTTGTGGTGTTTACAACGAGACAGTTAAGCATTTTTTTCTTGAATGTCCACTTTATTCTGCCCCTAGAACTAATCTGCTCCCCTCTGCTGCTCCCATATTTGCTGACAGGTGGCTTTTATATTTTAAGCACAAATTATATCAGTTTTTCTGGTTGGATCATCATTACTATAGCTGGGGCATTTACCTCCTATATTTGACACTTCAACTCTGTTAGGAAGATACACGTACATAGCTATAAAGCCAGATTATCTAGCAAAATGAATTATGCTATTCTGAAAGCCAGAACAAAATTAATTGTGGAATCTTCAACATAAGTTTTCAGGATGTCTACGTCTGGAATAATATATGTGATGGCATCAAGCTGCTTCCTCTGAAAAGAGTTTTAAGAAAACCTACAAGCTAATAATTCTTTCTTTATGGCTATTTGGGGCAACCTGTACTCCTCCCAATTGTTTGTGGTAATACGATGTATCTATGGTATCATCTTGGCAACTTTCAAATATGGTCAACGCCAGCTGGCCGTTATGAAGAATTACATAATTTATATATGCACGGGTTGTGAGACGGGGCCTACGGTTTATGGTCCTTATCCGAGAAGACTAGAAAGTCTAACCGTTTGCAGATGTGTTTACAAAGGCAGCACTTTCTCCTCAGTTATTTAAAGACCCTGAGTGTTGGTCTGGGTGGGACTTGAACCAGCGGCCTTCCGCTCGGCAGACCGGCGCTTATCCAACTGAGCTAACCGGGCGGTGAAGGGATTGGAGCCAATTAGAAACGGTAGAATATTTTAAATAAATAATAAATATCAATAACTGGTCGATAATTTGGTAGCACTTGCGAATAAAAAACTATCTTAAATTATAAAGTCTGTATACTTGAGTGTCAGAGTACCAAGATTAACTTTATACTTGTTTATCA